TGATTGAGAGTCATACTTACATTAATTCTGTAATCTGTACTCTCCCCCCACACCCCTCACTGTTTGGGGGTCATACTAACATTAATTCTGTAATCTGTGACTCTCCCCCACACCCCTCACTGATTGAGTGTCATACTAACATTAATTTTAAATTTACTTCCCCCCCACACCCCTCACTGATTGAGGGTCATACTAACATTAATTCTGTAATCTGTGACTCTCCCCCCACACCCCTCACTGATTGAGGATCATAATAACATTAATTCTGTAATTTATCTCCCCCCACACCCCTCACTGATTGAGAGTCATACTTACATTAATTCTGTAATCTGTGACTCCCCCCCCACACCCCTTACTGATTGAGGGTCATACTAACATTAATTCTGTAATCTGTGACTCCCCCCCCACACCCCTCACTGATTGAGGATCATACTAAGATTAATCCTAATCTGTGACTCTCCCCCCACACCCCTCACTGATTGAGGGTCATACTAACATTAATTTGTAATCTGTGACTCTCCCCCTACACCCCTCACTGATTGAGGGTCATACTAACATTAATTCTGTAATCTGTCACTCTCCCCCACACCCCTCACTGATTGAGGGTTATACTAACATTAATTCTGTAATCTGTGACTCTCCCCCCACACCCTCTACTGATTGAGGGTCATAAATATTAATCCTGTAATCTTGTCTCCCCCCACACCCCTCACTGATTGAGGGTCATACTAACATTAATTCTGTAATCTGTGCCCCCTCCCCCACACCCCTCACTGATTGAGGGTCATACAAACATTAATTCTGTAATTTCTGTAATCGCTGTGTTCATACTAACATTATTTCTTCTTTCCCCCACACCCCTTACTGATTGAGGGTCATACTAACATTAATTCTGTAATCTGACTGAGCTCCCCCCACACCCCTCACTGATTGAGGGTCATACAGTACCCGCATCGTTATTCTTTACAATTCTATCGTGTTCTATCGTGCGTGTATCCTATCGTATCGTGCGTGTATCCTATCGTATCGTGCGTGTATCCTATCGTATCGTGTTTTCCGTTTATCAGGTTTTGCGTTTTCTATCGTGTTTTCCGTTTATCGTGTTTTGCGTTTTATCGTGTAGATCGTTTATCAGGTTCTATCGTGTATCGTGTTTTGCGTTTATCGTGTATATTCGGAAACCCTCGCTTTTATCTTTACTATGTAAAGAAACTACTGAGCTATTTCGAGTTTCTTTTGCGTTTTGTTAATAAAAATAAGATTAATTCAACAATTCATCAATATCAATATAAGAAATATGAAAGTGTAGAAGAAAAAAAAATTAATCGCGTATTTCATGAATGAATAAATTGATTTATTAATAAATAATTAATTAAATAAAAAATATAATTATATCATGGTAAAGCAGAGAGTAATTGTCAAAATTTAAACAGTAACTCTATTTTTCGGAAATGAAATTATAAGTAGATAGATCAACTGGTCTATTTCTTTAAAAAATAATTTATTGAATTGTACGATTAATGTTGTCAAAATTAAATATTATCAATATGATTTTCTCAAATGAATCGGAGTTATCGGAGAAACATTTTTGGTAAACTACGATGTTCGCGTAGACAAAAAGCAAATAAATAAATAATAAGCAGCATATTGAAATGTATCTTTTTATCATGCAATATTCTGTTTTTCCTTGTTATCGTCTTATAACGTTAGAAATATGTTTACGCGTCTGACCTGCATGTATGCACAATTATTTAAGGTCTTGATGTTACAAATATAATATAACATAAGACAATGATCCAGATGATTTTAACAACGATTTTGGTCGTATACGTTCAAATTTTAAATTTCTTTTTTTAAAGCTTATTATAAATTCCTCTACATATGTCTAAATAAATAAAAGAAATCAAAATCATAAAATAAAATCAATGAAAATATTCTATCCAATTTATCACACCATGGCTGTTACTATAAAATAGAAGATTTTGATTAATTTTATCTGGCGTTAAGATAACATAAAAATAATATAACTATACATGTACAGGGGAAAACATGAAGTTTTTTTAAAAGCTTACCTTTTCGGCGTGGAATTAAACTCAAAATATAATCCATCGGGATGCCAAAAATCAAAATAAATCGAAGACCTTTCCTTACAAGAAAACTGACACGTATGTGTCGCTCTCTAATTAGCACACTGTCTTCCTGTGCGGTCAACCGCCCCCTCCCCCTTCTCCCCTAGCTGACACCTCGGCCCGTGTGTGTGTGATCGCCGTCAACATACCTGTACTGATTTCTCACCTGGGGTCAATTAGTAACCTTGAATACTACCTGGTTCTAATGAAACGCATCTACTTAATTTCGAGATTTTGTTCCTAACTTGTTGAACAATTTTATCAAAGATTTAATTCAAAATACATTAAATAATTGTACGATTTATGGATTAAAAATCATCTTGAATGTTAAATAAAAACTCAAATAAATCAATTTAATGAAATGAAGTCCCTAAACTCACTCCGTTAATTCTTTTTCATTTCGTACAATGTTTCCGTTATGTTTATGTAAAATAAGTCTTTTAATAAACATAAAAAATACACTGCACTTATGGTAAGTGCACTTTCGGGTCATCGGGTTTTCTACGTAAAAGACTAAAACGGACAAAATTTATTCTAGGAAACAATTTCATTGATCGTAGAAACGGATGAAATAGTTCTAACATTCTAAACTATGAAAATTAGCTCTCAATATTTTACTATCTTACTATAAAAATAAAACAAAAGGAGTCGTTCTATCCGCCGTGACCATGCAAGACTAATAAATACACCGAATCAAAGTTAGGTCTTGTTTATCTAATTTTAAATTGGTTGCGGACTTTCAAAATACCGCCCTTCGAATATGCCTATAATGAGATTACCGGGTCAATGTAAAATGATTTTAAGGTTTAATAATTCATTTGCCGAATTTAACCTATTTTTTGTTATTATTAGAAACAGCACACACAGAGTTTAATAGCAATGATTTATAATTATTAAGTCGGAAAAGCCGCATTTCACTCTTTTAATATTTGTTAATTAATTTTTCTGTTTGTATTGTAAAGAAGAAAGTATTTAACCATTCAATGTTCGTTAATAAATACGAGGTTTTAAGTATCTGTAATGTAAAATACTTACATGCACATAAGTCAGAGCTTAGCGTAAACGTACATATGCAGTTGTAGCAGATTCATATTCTCATGACACAGTTTACATGAAGTAATGCAGATCGTCATTATTTTAATTATTATCTAGATTTCTATTCAGAAAATTTAATTTTCTTGAACTGTTTCGTTCTTGATAGATCTATCATGTTATATTTATTAATTTTGTTAAAGCCGCTTTCTTTAAACCTTCTTTCGGCCAGTCTTCTACTTTTATTATTTTCTTAGATATTAATATTTAATTGCGATTTTTGGATACATCGCAGATTGTAAGCTTTAGACATTAAATATAAATATTTAATTTATTGCGTAAATTTCTTTCGTGAAATATCTTGGTACTTGTAGATTAATTTATTAGATAGAAAATGAAAATGTATATTTTTCATAAAAAATAAATCTGTTTATAGAGTTTTAAAATTGACACACTTTAGAAGGAATAAAAAAAAATACAGTCTCCATTTCATACAAATCCATTTAATCACTGTCATTTTTTTAAATATATATAATTAAACAACTTTTGTAAAATTAATACAGAGATTTCAGGTTCTTTTTACAATAAGTAAATGTACTTTATAGTTTAGATTTGAAGCTCTGCGAGTATTTACATTAAAATATAATCTAATTCAAATAATCTTTAATCTTTAAATTTTATTTAAAATAATCTTTTCGTCTTGTCAAAAAACGTTCCGCATTTTGAACAATCCTATCAGGTTTTGCGTTTATCCTATCGTGTAGATCGTTTATCAGTTCTATCGTGTTTTGCGTGTATCGTGTTTTGCGTTTATCGTGTTTTGCGTTTATCCTATCGTGCGTGTATCCTGTCCTATCGTGCGTGTATCCTGTCCTATCGTGCGTGTATCCTATCGTATCGTGCGTGTATCCTATCGTATCGTGTATCCTGTAAAGAATAACGATGCGGGTACTGTACTAAGATTACGGGCCCCCCCCCCACACCCCTCACTGATTGAGGATCATACTAACATTAATTCTGTAATCTGTGACTCTCCCCACACCCCTACATTAATTCTGATTGACTGGAGGGTCATACTAACATTAATTCTGTAATCTGTGACTCTCCCCCACACCCCTCACTGATTGAGGGTCATACTAACATTAATTCTGTAATCTGTGACTCTCCCCCCACACCCCTCACTGATTGAGGGTCATACTAACATTAATTCTGGCCCCCCCCACACCCCTCACTGATTCTAACATTGATTCTGTAATCTGTGACTCTCCCCCACATCCCTCACTGATTGAGGGTCATACTAACATTAATTCTGTAATCTGTGACTCTCCCCACACCCCTCACTGATTGAGGGTCATACTAACATTAATTCTTTAATCTGTGAGTCTCCCCCCACACCCCTCACTGATTGAGGGTTATACTAACATTAATTCTGTAATCTGTGACTCTCCCCCACATCCCTCACTGATTGAGGGTCATACTAACATTAATTCTGTAATCTGTGAATCTCCCCCCACACCCCTCACTGATTGAGGGTCATACTAACATTAATTCTGTAATCTGTGACTCTCCCCCACACCCCTTACTGATTGAAGGTCATACTAACATTAATTCTGTCATCTGTGACTCTCCCCCCACACCGCTCACTGATTGAGGGCGGGTCATACTAACATTAATTCTGTCATCTGTGACTCTCCCCCCACACCGCTCACTGATTGAGGGCGGGTCATACTAACATTAATTCTGTAATCTGTGACTCTCCCCCCACACCCCTCACTGATTGAGGGTCATACTAACATTAATTCTGTAATCTGTGACTCTCCCCCCACACCCCTTACTGACTGAGGGTCATACTAACATTAATTCTGTAATCTGTGACTCTCCCCCCACACCCCTCACTGATTGAGGGAGGGTCCTCCAGTAGTGAGCGGGCAGTGTTGATGGAGTGGATAAAGATCTCACCGCCGTGACTGGCTAACATGTGGGAGATGACCTTGGTGCCTGACTTACGTGGCTGCTCCAACATTACAGCTCGACCTGGCAATCAAAAAAAAGTTTAATTCAAATCCTGATGGAAAATGCACAAGTATAAAATATCATAACTTGATAGAGAGAAGTAGAGAGAGAGAAAGAGAAAAATAAAGATTGAGAGCGATGAAAGAAGAGAGAGAAAGAATATACTAAAGAAAGTGGAGAGAAAAAAGATAGAGAGAGAAAGTAAGAAGGAAGAGAGAAACAGTGAGAAGAAGAGAGGAAAGAGAAAAACAGAGATGGAGACAAGAGAGAAAAAAGATTAGAAAGAGGAAAAGAGAGAAGTATAGCGAAGAGAGAGAGAAAGAGAGAGAGAGAGAGGAGAGAGAGAGAGAAAAGTGGAATGAGGTGAGATAACGCACCACTGAGGAGGAAGTTGGTGAGACAGGAGGAGGGCCGACTGTTGACGTCTACGGGGGTGATTCTTGCTGCACATGTACAGTACTGGAGCTCTGTCATATACAAATAAAGATTAACCGCACACGTACAGTACTGGAGCTCTGTCATAAACAGTAAAAGATTAACCACACACGTACAGTACTGGAGCTCTGTCATAAACAGAAAAAGATTAACCACACACGTACAGTACTGGAGCTCTGTCATAAACAGAAAAAGATTAACCGCACACGTACAGTACTGGAGCTCTGTCATAAACAGATTAACCGCACACGTACAGTACTGGAGCTCTGTCATAAACAGATTAACCGCACACGTACAGTACTGGAGCTCTGTCATAAACAAAAAGATTAACCGCACACGTACAGTACTGGAGCTCTGTCATAAACAGAAAAAGATTAACACCACACACGGACAGTACTGGAGCTCTGTCATAAACAGAAAAAGATTAACCACACACGTACAGTACTGGAGCTCTGTCATAAACAGAAAAAGATTAACCGCACACGTACAGTACTGGAGCTCTGTCATAAACAAAGATTAACCACACACGTACAGTACTGGAGCTCTGTCTCTGTCATAAACAGTAAACAGAAAAAGATTAACCGCACACGTACAGTACTGGAGCTCTGTCATAAACAGTAAAAGATTAACCTCACACGTACAGTACTGGAGCTCTGTCATAAACAGTAAAAGATTAACCACACACGTACAGTACTGGAGCTCTGTCATAAACAGTAAAAGATTAACCACACACGTACAGTACTGGAGCTCTGTCATAAACAGAAAAAGATTAACCACGTACAGTACTGGAGCTCTGTCATAAACAGAAAAAGATTAACCGCACACGTACAGTACTGGAGCTCTGACATAAACAGAAAAAGATTAACCGCACACGTACAGTACTGGAGCTCTGCCATAAACAGAAAAAGATTAACCACACACGTACAGTACTGGAGCTCTGTCATAAACAGTAAAAGATTAACCACACACGTACAGTACTGGAGCTCTGTCATAAACAGAAAAAGATTAATCTCACACGTACAGTACTGGAGCTCTGCCATAAACAGAAAAAGATTAACCACACACGTACAGTACTGGAGCTCTGTCATAAACAGTAAAAGATTAACCACACACGTACAGTACTGGAGCTCTGTCATAAACAGAAAAAGATTAACCACGTACAGTACTGGAGCTCTGTCATAAACAGAAAAAGATTAACTGCACACGTACAGTACTGGAGCTCTGTCATAAACAGAAAAAGATTAACCACACACGTACAGTACTGGAGCTCTGTCATAAACAGTAAAAGATTAACCACACACTTACAGTACTGGAGCTCTGTCATAAACAGTAAAAGATTAACCGCACACGTACAGTACTGGAGCTCTGTCATGAACAGTAAAAGATTAACCGCACACGTACAGTACTGGAGCTCTGTCATAAACAGTAAAAGATTAACCACACACGTACAGTACTGGAGCTCTGTCATAAACAGAAAAAGATTAACCGCACACGTACAGTACTGGAGCTCTGTCATAAACAGTAAAAGATTAACCACACACGTACAGTACTGGAGCTCTGTCATAAACAGAAAAAGATTAACCAAACAAGTACAGTACTGGAGCTCTGTCATAAACAGTAAAAGATTAACCACACACGTACAGTACTGGAGCTCTGTCATAAACAGTAAAAGATTAACCACACACTTACAGTACTGGAGCTCTGTCATAAACAGTAAAAGATTAACCGCACACGTACAGTACTGGAGCTCTGTCATAAACAGTAAAAGATTAACCACACACGTACAGTACTGGAGCTCTGTCATAAACAGTAAAAGATTAACCACACACGTACAGTACTGGAGCTCTGTCATAAACAGTAAAAGATTAACCACACACGTACAGTACTGGAGCTCTGTCATAAACAGTAAAAGATTAACCACACACGTACAGTACTGGAGCTCTGTCATAAACAGTAAAAGATTAACCACACACGTACAGTACTGGAGCTCTGTCATAAACAGTAAAAGATTAACCACACACGTACAGAACTGGAGCTCTGTCATAAACAGAAAAAGATTAACCACACACGTACAGTACTGGAGCTCTGTCATAAACAGTAAAAGATTAACCGCACACGTACAGTACTGGAGCTCTGTCAAAAACAGAAAAAGATTAACCACACACGTACAGTACTGGAGCTCTGTCATAAACAGTAAAAGATTAACCTCACACGTACGGTACTGGAGCTCTGTCATACCTAACAGAAAAAGATTAACCGCACACGTACGGTACTGTTTCAGCTTTTCAAAGATTGTCCATATATTTCTTTGTAAAACTTTGATTCCCAACTGTTGCACACGCTAACAACCCCCCCCCCCCCCACTGGACATGATTTGAACAATTACCGGGGTAAAAGCTACACTTCCCCAGAGTGCTTCCATATAAGCTTCAGCATTTCCGGCCCATAAAGAAGACTTTCAAAGATTTTCCATACACGTAAAAACTTGGATTCCCCATTGTGGCCCCGCCCTACCCCCTGGGGGTCATGATTTGAACAATTTAGAATCTACACTAGCCAAAGATGTTTTCACATATGTTTCAGCTTTTCTGGCCCAGTGGTTATCAAGAAGAAGATTTTCAAAGATTTTTCCTATATATTTCTATGTAAAACTTGAATTCCCCATTGTGGCCCCGCCCTACCCCCGGGGGTCATTAAATGAACAATTTAGAATCTACATTAACCAAAGATGATTTCACATGTACAGTTTTTGGCCCAGTGTTATCAAAAGAAGATTTTCAAAGATTTTTCCACACACGTACATGTAAAACTTGGAGCTCTGTCATAAACAGTAAAAGATTAACCACACACTTACAGTACTGGCCCAGTGGTTCTTCTGTCTATATATTTCTATATAAAATTGGATACCCCATTGTGGCCCTGCCCTTCACCCAGGGGTCATGATTTGAATAATTTAGAATCTACACTACACCAGGAGCTTCATGTCAGCTTTCTGGCCCAGTGGTTCTTGAGAAGAAGATTCAAAAATTTTTCCTATATATTTCTATGTAAAACTTTGATTCCCCAGCTCTGTCATAAACAATTTAAAAGATTAACCTCACACGTACAGTTTTCTGGCCCAGTGGTTCTTGAGAAGAAGATTTTCAAAGATTTTTCCTATATATTTCTATATAAAACTTGGAGCTCTGTCATAAACAATTTAGAATCTACAAAAGATTAACCACACACGTACAGCTTTACTGGAGCTCTGTCATAAACAGAAAATTTTTTAATGACCCAACCACACACGTACAGTACTGGAGCTCTGTCATTAACAGTAAAAGATTAACCGCACACGTACAGTACTGGAGCTCTGTCATAAAAGTGAAAAGTTTAACCGACGGACACACGTACAGTACTGGAGCTGTGTCATAAACAGTAAAAGATTAACCGTACACGTACAGTACTGGAGCTCTGTCATAAACAGAAAAATATTAACCACACACGTACAGTACTGGAGCTCTGTCATAAACAGTAAAAGATTAACCACACACGTACAGTACTGGAGCTCTGTCATAAACAGTAAAAGATTAACCACACACGTACAGTACTGGAGCTCTGTCATAAACAGAAAAAGATTAACCGCACACGTACAGTACTGGAGCTCTGTCATAAACAGATTAACCACACACGTACAGTACTGGAGCTCTGTCATAAACAGTAAAAGATTAACCGCACACGTACAGTACTGGAGCTCTGTCAAAAACAGATTAACCGCACACGTACAGTACTGGAGCTCTGTCATAAACAGAAAAAGATTAACACCACACACGTACAGTACTGGAGCTCTGTCATAAACAGAAAAAGATTAACCACACACGTACAGTACTGGAGCTCTGTCATAAACAGAAAAAGATTACTGGAGCTCTGTCATAAACAGATTAACCGCACACGTACAGTACTGGAGCTCTGTCATAAACAGTAAAAGATTAACCACACACGTACAGTACTGGAGCTCTGTCATAAACAGAAAAAGATTAACCGCACACGTACAGTACTGGAGCTCTGTCATAAACAGTAAAAGATTAACCGCACACGTACAGTACTGGAGCTCTGTCATAAACAGAAAAAGATTAACCACACACGTACAGTACTGGAGCTCTGTCATAAACAGTAAAAGATTAACCTCACACGTACAGTACAGTACTGGCACACGTACAGTACTGGTCATAAACAGAAAAAGATTAACCGCACACGTACAGTACTGGAGCTCTGTCATAAACAGAAAAAGATTAACCACACACGTACAGTACTGGAGTTCTGTCATAAACAGAAAAAGATTAATCTCACACGTACAGTACTGGAACTCTGTCATAAACAGAAAAAGATTAACCGTACACGTACAGTACTGGAGCTCTGTCATAAACAGAAAAAGATTAATCTCACACGTACTGTACTGGAGCTCTGTCATAAACAGAAAAAGATTAACCGCACACGTACAGTACTGGAGCTCTGTCATAAACAGTAAAAGATTAACATAAACTCACACGTACAGTACTGGAGCTCTGTCATAAACAGAAAAAGATTAACCGCACACGTACAGTACTGGAGCTCTGTCATAAACAGAAAAAGATTAACCACACACGTACAGTACTGGAGCTCTGTCATAAACAGTAAAAGATTAACCGCACACGTACAGTACTGGAGCTCTGTCATAAACAGTAAAAGATTAACCGCACACGTACAGTACTGGAGCTCTGTCATAAACAGTAAAAGATTAACCGCACACGTACAGTACTGGAGCTCTGTCATAAACAGTAAAAGATTAACCGCACACGTACAGTACTGGAGCTCTGTCATAAACAGTAAAAGATTAACCACGCACGTACAGTACTGGAGCTCTGTCATAAACAGAAAAAGATTAACCGCACACGTACAGTACTGGAGCTCTGTCATAAACAGTAAAAGATTAACCACACACGTACAGTACTGGAGCTCTGTCATAAACAGAAAAATATTAACCACACACGTACAGTACTGGAGCTCTGTCATAAACAGTAAAAGATTAACCGCACACGTACAGTACTGGAGCTCTGTCATAAACAGTAAAAGATTAACCGCACACGTACAGTACTGGAGCTCTGTCATAAACAGAAAAAGATTAACCTCACACGTACAGTACTGGAGCTCTGTCATAAACAGAAAAAGATTAACCACACAGGTACAGTACTGGAGCTCTGTCATAAACAGTAAAAGATTAACCTCACACGTACAGTACTGGAGCTCTGTCATAAACAGTAAAAGATTAACCGTACACGTACAGTACTGGAGCTCTGACATAAACAGAAAAAGATTAACCGCACACGTACAGTACTGGAGCTCTGTCATAAACAGTAAAAGATTAACCGCACACGTACAGTACTGGAGCTCTGTCATAAACAGAAAAAGATTAACCGCACACGTACAGTACTGGAGCTCTGTCATAAACAGTAAAAGATTAACCGTACACGTACAGTACTGGAGCTCTGTCATAAACAGAAAAAGATTAATCTCACACGTACGGTACTGGAGCTCTGTCATAAACAGAAAAAGATTAACCGCACACGTACAGTACTGGAGCTCTGTCATAAACAGAAAAAGATTAACCGCACACGTACAGTACTGGAGCTCTGTCATAAACAGAAAAAGATTAACCACACACGTACAGTACTGGAGCTCTGTCATAAACAGTAAAAGATTAACCACACACTTACAGTACTGGAGCTCTGTCATAAACAGTAAAAGATTAACCGCACACTTACAGTACTGGAGCTCTGTCATAAACAGTAAAAAGAAAAAGATTAACCGCTCACGTACAGTACTGGAGCTCTGTCATAAACAGAAAAAGATTAACCTCACACGTACAGTACTGGAGCTCTGTCATAAACAGAAAAAGATTAACCGCACACGTACAGTACTGGAGCTCTGTCATAAACAGTAAAAGATTAACCGTACACGTACAGTACTGGAGCTCTGTCATAAACAGAACAAAGATTAACCGCACACGTACAGTACTGGAGCTCTGTCATAAACAGTAAAAGATTAACCGTACACGTACAGTACTGGAGCTCTGTCATAAACAGTAAAAGATTAACCACACACGTACAGTACTGGAGCTCTGTCATAAACAGAAAAGGATTAACCACACACGTAGAGTACTGGAACTCTGTCATAAACAGTAAAAGATTAACTGCACACGTACAGTACTGGAGCTCTGTCATAAACAGTAAAAGATTAACCACACACGTACAGTACTGGAGCTCTGTCATAAACAGTAAAAGATTAACCGCACACGTACAGTACTGGAGCTCTGTCATAAACAGTAAAAGATTAACCGCACACGTACAGTACTGGAGCTCTGTCATAAACAGTAAAAGATTAACCACACACGTACAGTACTGGAGCTCTGTCATAAACAGTAAAAGATTAACCACACACGTACAGTACTGGAGCTCTGTCATAAACAGTAAAAGATTAACCGCACACGTACAGTACTGGAGCTCTGTCATAAACAGTAAAAGATTAACCGCACACGTACAGTACTGGAGCTCTGTCATAAACAGAAAAAGATTAACCGCACACGTACAGTACTGGAGCTCTGTCATAAACAGAAAAAGATAAACCGCACACGTACAGTACTGGAGCTCTGTCATAAACAGAAAAAGATTAACCGCACACGTACAGTACTGGAGCTCGCAAAAACAGAAAAAGATTAACCGCACACGTACAGTACTGGAGCTCTGTCATAAACAGTAAAAGATTAACCTCACACGTACAGTACTGGACCTCTGTCATAAACAGAAAAAGATTAACCGCACACGTACAGTACTGGAGCTCTGTCATAAACAGAAAAAGATTAACCGCACACGTACAGTACTGGAGCTCTGACATAAACAGAAAAAGATTAACCGCACACGTACAGTACTGGAGCTCTGTCATAAACAGAAAAAGATTAACCGCACACGTACAGTACTGGAGCTCTGTCATAAACAGAAAAAGATTAACCGCACACGTACAGTACTGGAGCTCTGTCAAAAACAGAAAAAGATTAACCGCACACGTACAGTACTGGAGCTCTGTCATAAACAGTAAAAGATTAACCTCACACGTACAGTACTGGAGCTCTGTCATAAACAGTAAAAGATTAACCGCACACGTACAGTACTGGAGCTCTGTCATAAACAGAAAAAGATTAACCGCACACGTACAGTACTGGAGCTCTGTCATAAACAGTAAAAGATTAACCGCACATACAGTACTGGAGCTCTGTCATAAACAGTAAAAGATTAACCGCACACTTACAGTACTGGAGCTCTGTCATAAACAGAAAAAGATGAACTCCCTTTGTCTATACACTAAATCTAGTCTTTCATTATGACAGCTACATAAGGGGTACACATACCTACAACATTAGATTTGGGGTATAAATATATATACACACCTCCTACATTAGGGTGTATACATACCTACAACATTGGACTTAGGGGTACACACCTACTACATTGGACTTAGGGGTACCCATACCTCCTACATTAGGGGTGTATACATACCTACAACATTGGACTATGGGGTATATATATACATGTATATACACACCTCCATCATTAGGGGTATGAACATACCTACTACATTGGACTTAGGGGTATATATATATACACACCTCCTACATTAAGGGTGTATACATACCTACAACATTGGACTTAGGGGTATATATATACACATCTCCTACATTAGGGGTGTATACATACCTACAACATTGGACTTAGGGGTACACATACCTACAACATTCAACTTGAGGGTACACATACCTACAACATTAGACTTAGGGGTACATATACCTACAACATTGGACTTCGGGGTACACATACCTCACAACATTGGACTTCGGGGTACACATACTCCTAAGACATTGGACTTCGGGGTACACATACCTACAACATTGATTGGGTACACATACCTACAACATTGGACTTCGGGGTACACATACCTCCTACATTAGGGGTGTACACATACAACATTGGACTTTGGGGTACACATACCTACAACATTGGACTTTGGGGTACACAGACCTACAACATTGGACTTCGGGGTACACATACCTACAACATTGGACTTGGGTGTTAGCAACATTTGAACTGTAGGGGTACACATACCTACAACATTGGACTTCGGGGTACACATACCTACAACATTGGACTTTGGGGTACACATACCTACAACATTGGACTTTGGGGTACACATACCTACAACATTGGACTTTGGGGTACACATACCTACTACATTGGACTTAGGGGTACACCATTTTAAGGTGACTGTTTCTGTAGGGAGCCCTTCCTTGGATGGAATCACCAAACCATCACTGTGAGCTGTCAAAAAAAAACAGGATTTGTATTCATAAAAAATTTTTTAAGCCATTGTATTATATTGTTTATTTTATTTACTGACATTGGTATTTAATAAAAAAAAAATTTATTACTCTTTTATATAAATTGAATTTTTTGTTCAAAATCTGAGCTTTTTATAAATTTTGCTTCTAAATATGCATATTAATCATGTCAAAAATATTATGGGTGATGGACATTCAACTGTCTTAATATTGAGGAATCTCCAAATTTGCTGTAAACTGCAAAAAGATTTTTACGTGGTATGACATAAATAAACTTTGAGAGCCATAAAGGCAACCATACAATTATAACCATGCATGTAATAACCATTTTTGTTCACGGATATTGCTACCTAACTGATTTCAATAACTATATTAATGGACAGTTTTTTCTAAAAAAGAAATTCTGAAAGCGGGGACAAGTAATACAAGCAGTGTATCAATCTAATATCTTATGATGGTTCCAGCATTTAAAACATTTTTTTCATGAAAACCTGAAGTGATATATGAAATAACATAACGTCAATTATCAGATTACCTTTGTCAGAAAAACTATCCATACAACAATGCTTATTCATTTTACCAGCAAATTTAAAACTGTCCTTTGTACAATATTGCCTAATTGGGAAAAAATATTTCACATACAATGTTTGGTTGAAAAATTTATCTTTTATGTATTTTGCAGATATAATAAAAACTAACAAGGCAAGTCATTTTTCCTTTTACTATACAAGTATAAAAACTTCAATATGAATCTAAAACTTGAAGGCAGCTGGGTATGAGATGCCTTGCATGATACATGTATCAGTATTCAAAGACTCACATTACATGAAATACTTTGTAAGTATAAAATGAACTGATAATTGTCTCAACAAGACTCTTCTAGGGAAAAAGAAAACAAAAATGGTTGTTTGAAAATCACATCTTGCAACCTCAAACAATGGGAGACCCTACACACCTCAAATATACATACATGAAATACTAAACACTCACCGGACTTCATGATATCATCGTGGGCTTGTGAAGGGTGCAATAATTCTACATCATAATTCGCTGAAGAGCTGGCATTTTTTTTTCCTGTTATAGTTTTAAAAAAGTTCATTTACACTCACTAATAAAGTTCCTTGGCAAAATTTACAATCCAGTAGAATTTTAAAGAAATCAACTCACCTAATGTTCAATGAGTTATCACATAGATAATAAAAACGGTAATATAGATATATAAACACTGTAATTATCATACCTTCATGGGAATGCCGGTAACTGTTGTGGAGGACAGACCATAGTGGAACTGGACCAGTTGTATCAACTTATTGTACAGAATTGGGACTGTGCTGGACCTCTCCAAACAATAGAGGAGATATCTACAAGTTAACAAAAACAAATATATAACAGTTTCTTCTACTGGAACTTGGCTGATTGTGTCACCTGGATCTCTCCTTATACGAGGGTTGTTCGTAAATTCGTGGACAACATTGATAATTACTGACACACATTGACAAAATATACGGAACTATCATTTTCATTAATTGTTTTTTTATAAAAATTTCAAGTTTTCAACAAAAACAAAGCACAAATAGTTATATTTTTACAGAAAAAAAAAACACACACTCATACCTGGAGCACTAAAAAGAAAATTCTTAGTTTCCCGACGTCAAAAGCTTAATACGAGTACATGTAACTTTTTTCAAC